TATATATATATATATATATATATATGGGTTTTCTTTGATCTTTCAATCTAATATTGTGAAATAAGCTTGCGCAATTTATATGGGAATGCAAAATGAGACAACAGAAAATGGAGCCGAGCAGCAGCTTTCGTTTATGTTCTGATAGGCCCAAGACTACGCCAAACACTGTGGCTTGGTTAGAATCAGGACTGCTAAGAGAATATTGTGCTTTTTACATTTTTCCCCTTAAAAGTGAACCTACGATTTCAGACGGCAAAGCTGGCTTACATGATTCAATGACGTGTCCCGTCATGTTTAAGAATTCAGTCAGCAGGCAGAGAGGAGAAGGTCTTTAGTGGATGTTTGAACGCATTTACAAAAGTAATCCAGTCGAATGCGCTTTAGGGCCTGTTTACACCTGGTCACTTCATGCATTATCTTTAATAGGAATGCTGTTGATCGTGTAAATGCCCTCCGAAATGCTTTCAAAACGGATTTAAATCCGATCACTCAAACTACTGGAGGTGGTCTGGGACTCATTCCAGATGAAACTGGAGAAGTGTAAATGCATCTGGTTGATGAAACTACACATGTAAATTTTACTCTTCGCAAAATGATAAACGTGTAAGAGCTAGTTGTAGGCCAAACAACATGTTATAGACAGCTATGACAACGCTAATGCAACACGCATCGCCGTGGATGAGTATCTGAGTATCTCTTCAGCAAACAATGAAACTTAAAGTAAGTCGCAGATGTTCAACACACAATCATTTTCATTAAACGTAGTTAGCCTAACATTTCTTTCCAGTGCTAATGACACGTTCTCTCCGGTTGCAGACTTTGATTTTGAAATTAGCTGAGGATGAATAAAATGCAGTGCATATCTGTTGCTTTCGTTGACGTGAACTCAAATTAAATTTGCATAAAGCGTGAGACATTTATGTTGCCAAGTGTGAATGAAACTGTTTTAACAAATCAGATAGCTATCCAATCAGAGAAAACGCATGAAGTGACCAGGTGTAAACAGGCCCATAGACTACCTCTGGATGTGGTCAAAAGTGGACTCGCTCAAAAAGTTTCAGATCCTGTTTACACCTGTACGTAGCTTTGTCCACTTGGCATTCGATCAAAAACACATCTTACTACCAGGTGTACGGATCAAATGTAACCCTGCAGCTTTGGGGGAAAAGGACTGGACATTGTGTGTCAGTTACATTTCGTACAAATAAATCGCCAAATTGAAAACTCCCTCCCACGCCACCCTGAATGAGAACATGTGATAAGTCTTCCAGCCACACTCCAATATTGGTCTACCGTCTAAAAGAGTGTTTTTGCTGGTTTCATACACCACTCGCCCAACAGACACACTGAAATTCCTGAAGGATCTTCCAATGATGGCTCCCAAAGTACCTCACCCTGACTCCTTGGAAGTTTGTGCAATTTTGGCAGGAGTGACACAGTTCAAGTGCTCTTGCAGAGTTGGAGTGAGAGAGAGAAAGAGAAATGTGCATCTGTAAGGAGGAACGTTGCATGAGGCGGGTAGCAGACAGCATAATCCTCATGTCACTTCCTGTGCCCCTTTCTGAGAACATGAAACCTGGGAGAGAGTATCATAGTGCTGTTTGACACAGAAAGAGAAAGACAGATTGGCTGTGTCCGAAACAAGAAACTGCTGCCCAATGACTCAAAGTTTTTGGATGAAGGTACCCC